CCCCAGGTGTCAAAACACACCCAGCCCCCTGGAGCCTGCAGGTGGAGAGCAGCCCCTGGCCACACAGGTTCTCCCAGTCCCAGACAGAGTCACATCAGACCTCAAATCTCAAGACAGAGCTTGTCCACAGGACGACCCCACTCCACCACAGCCCTATCCCTTAGGGTCCCAATCCCAAAGCAAATCCTGCCCATGCCAGGAACCCAATCCCAAACCGTCCGCCACAGCAGGACCCCCAGCAGCTCAGACCCTCAAGCTCCCCAAGTCTTCATCAGAGACCCAAGTCCCAAAGCCAACAGTGTCCACACAAGACTGCAAGCCCTAAAAGAGCATGTCCGCAGTGGAACCCCATAACCCAGGGCTGACCTGCTCGCAGCAGGACCCCAAACTCAAAGCAAACTCCAAGTCCCTGTGCTGGACACATGGACATAAGAATCCTCAATCCTCCAGCCAGACATGTCCACACAAGGACACCAAAGGCCAAAGCAAACCTGCCCCCAAGCCCAGAACAAACCTGTCGGAGACAGCCCCAAACCTCCAGGCTCACCACAGATGCCTCAGAACCCCACATCCTTCGGAAACTTCATGCAGGGATGCTAACGAGCGAAACAGCCCCCGTTCACCTCAGCACCCCAAATCCAGAACAGACCTGCCCAAGCCTGAACCCCAAATTTTCAGGGTAACCATGACCGCCTTAGAACCTTGAATTCTCTGGCCACTGAGTCCACACAAGGACACTAAAGCTCAGAACAAGCCCTGCCCGCGTTGGGACCCAAAACCAAGAAACTTGGCCAAGACTAAACCCCAGACCCCAGGCTATCCAAGTGACCATCAGAACCCCGAATCCTCCAGTGACCGTGTCCACTGATGAGCGCTGAAGCCTGAGACAAACTCTGCCCCTGTGAGGACCCATATCTGTAGGCAAACCATGCCCACGTTTGAACCTCAATAAAGTCCCTAAGCTGCCCCTGCCTGCAACAGACTCTACCCAGATCACGACCCTAAATCAGAGCAGACATGCCCAATTCTGAGCCCCCAATCTCTAATCAACCATTTGTGCATCTGAACCCCAATCCATCAGCCATTACTGTGTTCGAAAGGATGCCAGACCCTGAAACAAACTTCCCACATCTGGACCCCAAATTCAAAGCCAACTCTGCCCACAGGTGAAGCAAAGCCCAAGTTCACCATGACTGAGTACACCAGAATCCAACCCCAAGCAAGTGTCCTCATAGGGCTCCAAAGCATGAGGCAAACTCTGACCATAATAGCACCCCAAAATTAAGTCAAATCTACCCATATCTGCACCCCAACTCTCCATGGGAACCATGTCTACATCAGCACTCCAAGATTTAAGCCAACCATACCCATGTAAGGAAGCTGAAGTTCAAAATAAACTTCGCCTACTGTATATGAGGACCCCAAATCTTAAAGCCAACTCTGCTTGTACTAGTATTTGAAACCCAAATCCCTTAGCCAACCTACTCTACATCAGAACCCCAAATTCTAGACCAAATCCTGTCTGTGTCAGACCCCCAAATTTCAGGGAAGACCTGTTCAATTTGTCACCCCCAGTTGCCACACTACCCAGGGCTACATCAGAACCCCCAAATCTTAGGACAAGTCCTACAGATGCAAGGACTGCACATCCCAGAGCAGACCCTTCCTTAAATAGGAAGTAAACCTTGCCTTCATCAGAACCCCAGATCTCGAAGCAAACCCTGTCCATCTCTGAACCCCGAGCACGGGCACTAACCCAGTTCGTATCCGAACCCCGATCTCAAGCTGTGTCCTTGTCCCCATCAGGAGCTCAGAGCTAGCCCAACAGGAATCAACCAGCATCCGAAGCTCCCTGTCCAGACACATCCACGTGAGAGGCACCCAGTGGAGGGGAAACGCCTAGTGCCCAGTCTCTCCCTCTCCACCAGCCTCCTTCCGTCAGCCTGAGGACCTGGCTGGCCTATCCCATCCCTACGATATCTAGGATAAGAGGATCAAAGCCCCGGCCTCCGCCATCTCCCCACCAGTGGAAATCAACGCAAAAACTCCTGAAGAAAGGGAAGATCTGAAAAGCTCTGTGGCTGCAGCACAGAGGGTGTGAGCGGGATACTGCAGACACACTGCAGTAACACTGCAGAGGCCAGGACGATGGAGACAGAGCAGATGCAGCCCTGGCGCAGCTCAGTGCTCCCGCAAGCTGCTCCGGGGCAGCTCTTCTCATCTTCATCTGCGCGCTGAGCCCTCTCAGCCAGAGACATCTTGGAGCCATGTCCCTCCCTAGACAGAACGACCCGGAAAGGCGTCTGTGGGCGCTGAGGCGCCTTCCTGTGTATCGGTTGTACTAGAAGAGTATCGGGCAGATGCTTTGGGGCATTTCTGAGGCTTTATTCAGAGGGAAATAGATCTCAGACCCCCTCTGTATTTAACATGTTAAAAATGAGGTGAACTCTTGAAGGACTTCGAGTTCCAAAACAAGTAATCCGAAAGTTACGTCTCCGGAACTACCAATGCCTGGCCCCCTTCTGTGAATTTATTTCTGCTGATGAGCTATGCTGAGCAGTAAATTCAAGAAAGCGAAGTCACAGGATTGTGACTTACCGCCGATGTCACAATCCTGTCCCTCAACCAGCACTTAGCGAGTGTTAGAAGCTTGACCTCTCCCTCGGCTGTGGTCCTTCCTGTGGACGGCCAGCAGGAAAGAGAGAAGGTGGGACCGCGCTGATGGATGAAATGTGGGCCCCTGCCTCTATGTAACCAGCCGATACCTCTGTGCCCACCTCCAAGGTTGCCAGGGGGTCAAATGAGCTAATGTATGTGAAAACCTTGAGAGACACAAATCTGAAAGGGGTGAGCAAATCCGCAGACCGGGGTCGCCCTGACGGGTCTGTCGTCAGCTCTAATAATTTACTTAAGCGGGTGGTAATTAGTGTTTGTGTAAGCTGGAGTCGCTGCCTGCCTGCGAGGAAGAATGTGCTCTGATTTCTTCCCGAGGAGCTGCTCAGCATGTGTGACTCGCACACTTGTCGTTCGCAGGGAAACACAGCTTTACTCAATTTCTTCAAGGTTGATGGGAAGACAGGTTGTCTTGCTTAGTCTAATTACTGATTATCCTCTGTGTTGGAACCACAAACAAGACCCTAATTAACAGATTTGCCAGCCACCACTTCCTGTTTACATCCACCATCCGGAGTCGCTGGGAACCAGAGGTGCCGGCAGAGCCCAGAGGGACGGCGCCCGGAGCTGGAAGGGGCAGGTCTGGTTGGAGTCCTGGCTGTGCCAGGCACTGGGGGCCTGAGTTTGCTTATCCGCAAACGAAGGTGACAGGCCTCACTTGCCAGGAGGATTACGTAATGTGGGCACTTCTGCCCTGGCCGGGTGGCTCAATTGGTTGGAGAGTTGTCCCATACACCAAAAGGTTTCAGGTTCGATTCCTGGTCTGGGCACATACTTAGGTTGTAGGTTTGATCCCCCGGTCTGGGTGTGTACAGAAGGCAATCGATTGATGTTTCTCTCTCCCATCAGTGTCCCCCCCCCCCCACTCTTTCTCTCTAAAATCAATAAAAACATATCCATGGGTGAGAACTAAAAATAATAATAATAATAATAATAATAATAATAATGTACTTCTTACAGGTGTGTAGTAATCACTTGATCATGAAACCAAAAAAAACCAACACTGGTGAATTCCACCTGGAATAAATGATAATCCAATCCAAGCAGAGATGAGACTAATGTGTGACACTGCTGATGGAGAAAGCAAAGATCCAACAAATGTTTGCCACTGCTGCTGCTTACCCAACGATGACAACCGTCTCCAGAGTGTTAGTTTGACGTCTGTGACTGGATGACTACTCTGTGCTGTGCTATATATAAAGGATAACCTAGTTACTTCAAGTTTTCACTCTGTTTGTAGAGTTTGCCTCATGAAATGACTATAGCGACTCGTGTTTTTCGCAACAGGATGAGTTATAATTGCAGAATTTTATAAATCGTTGCCTTGGGGTTTTTTTTAAAATATTGTTTGTTTGTTTTTGTTTGGCTTCTCTTTGAGCTGAGCCACATTAATTTCCTGAAAGCATTAACGGCCACAAACGGATTTGTGTGGAGCCATCCCATGGGATTAGTACTCAAGGTTCTGAAGGTATCTTTGTGATACCCAAGGTCAGATCACCTCTTAACTAAACTAACGTAATAGTTTATCTTGAATACCCATTTTTTTAAAAAAGAAAAACTGATTCTTCGCAGGAATTTTGATGGATGACACTACCCTGAGGTTTCATGATGTCGTCCCCGGCGGAATTATTTCATTACATGTCTGGCGTTATGATGGATGGACGGACCTGGTTCAGGCGGCTGTGGAAGGGGATACCAGTAAGGTGTTTTCATGATTCCTTAAATGGATATTACACTTCATGAAGCAGTTGTAAATTGTGTGTGTGTGTGTCGAGGGGGGGGGGGCAGTAAGGGGGAGTCACCCAGTCTTTAATGTGAATATTTGAGTAGAAGTTTCAGAGCAGGGAGAAAAGATAACAAGGACTTACGTCCTAATGATCAAATCCTGGATCAAGTGTTTCCACTCACTCGTTGGGTTTGTGATTTCACTGTGTTCACTCACTTTTGACTTATAACCCACTCATGCCCCCCAAAAGAACCTGGGCAATGTGTTCTCTATTCACGTGTGTACTTTGTAAAGTTGGAAACCTAATTTAACCGCCAGTGCAGCACCCCAGGTGCCCTGGAGATTCTCGGCCTGGCACACGGGCAGGTGCCCTGTCCTGGCGGGTCTGCCTTCCTCTGGTACACAGCAGGCGCCTACTGTTTGCCAAGCCAGGGCGGGGGGAGGTGGAAACCAGCTTGTCCACCCAACGGTGAAGATGAATCACTCAGACACAAGGGGGCAAGTGTGTGTTCTTTCTAGAAAATAAGCTCGATGAACAGGGATGAGCTGAGCTGTGCGGCCACCCACGCTCACGCCACTCCGTGCGTCTTGCCCAGCTCTCTTGCCTTGGAGTGAGTGAGGATTCTCCGTACCGAACCCCAACTTTGCAATACCTGGGAGAGAAGCAGCGGAAGAAGTGGATAGCTCAGAGGGCCTTCGTGGCCTTGTACATCGCCTCGCACAGAGGCCACGTGGAAGCGGTGCAGTATCTTCTAGAACAAGGTAATTGTGAGACACAGCGGAGTATGTTCAAGAGCTGGAGTCCTTGGTGAGGAGGGAGAACAGAGTGGTTTGTCTTCCTGGTTCCTTCAGCAATGGCTTCCTGGGCTCAGGTCTTGTCAACCATCCATCACAGTTCCTGTCCGAGGTGTCTTAGGACATGTTAACCATGGCTGGTCCCCTCTCTCGGCCAGGTCTCCGGGGAATCCTTTCTGCTGTGGGAGAGCAGCTGAAGGGGCTTCCTGGCTCCGTGTCCAACCAGACACCCCGGGGCATCCCCCAGTGCCGTGTGATTCGCACCCCAGCTGCGGTTGGGTTTCTGCCATGGACTAGGGGCCCCAAGCTGGCACCGTTCTCTCGGTGGTTGGCAGTCCCTTTCCTCCAAGCCTTGAGCTAATCACCCAAACCTCTTTCCCTCTTTCCTGCTCTCTCTCCCCACCCCCAGCCTTAGCCTGCATTGTCTCTGAATTAAGGGCTTCCTATGAGATTCTGCAAGAGTGGGCTTCATCTCCCTGGATGTAGGACATTTTTGAGGAAAGAGGCCCACAGATTGGGGTGTCGCCCATTAAAGAACAATGCACAGTAGTTGCGGCCAGGCCAGGCCACGCTTCCTCGGGGAAAGGAAGCGCGTGACAGGCAGGGTCATTGGTCAATGGTTCGAAGCTCAGAAGGGGGCCTCATCCAAGGGTGTCCCCTGTCAACACCCCCAGATTAGACCCTTTCGTTCCCACCTGTGGCCTCGACCCAGCCTCTCTCCACTCGGTCTGCTTTTTCCCACCTCCAGCAAGCAGGGCAGGCAAGCATCCCGGGTGCGTGGGTAAGATGACCAGCAGCGTGATGGAGAGAGCGTCCGGACTGTATCCCCCTCCCCTGCCTTCTGCACTCCGCCTGTTGTGAGATGAAATATGGGCTTTTCACAACCCAGCAGTCCTTTAAGCTCATAAAACGTCATTCTCCCTCTGATGGAACTGTGATGTATTTGAAAGCGCCAGTTAAAAAATTACAGCCAGCTTCGCAACGTTCTCTGTCCTTTGCAGACGGCCATTGGGGAGAGGCGACCTGGCCCAGGCTGGGCGTTAGGAGAATTTGTTTAATGAACCCTTTACCTCACCGACCAGCCATGGCTCATAGAAATGGGCTCCCACATGTCAGTTGCATGGAATTAAAGTGCCTGGTTTTCTGTGTCATGACATTTGTTACCCAGAGTTTGATTCCATTCAACAAGTCCACGTTGGACACCTGTCATTAGCCCATCCACCTGCAGGGGGCAGTGAGGGGTGTGGTCAAAGCCAAGTCTGTCTATGAGTCAAGCCCGTCGTCCGTCCGTCATCGCCTGGCCGCCTGGCTTCCCCAGGCATCGCGCTAGGTGCTGGGGAGGAAAACAAAACCACTGCCCTCGTGGAGCTTATGAAGGGAAGTCAGCACATGATTACAAGCAATGAATTCCATGGTTGGTGTGCACAGCGTGTCTACTGAGCTTATACACAGGAGCTTGCAGGGGGGGTGAGGTAGGGGTTTCCCGACGGAGTGAATGAGACCTAAGAAAGGGTACTGTGAGCCCAGGGGCGAGGAAAAAGGATGAGAGTGTTGTTGGCAAAGGGCACAGCACATGCAAAGGGCCAGGGGCAGGATGGGGGAGCAGGGTATATTTAAGGGGTGAAGATGGGAGGCTGGTATGATCAGAGCGTGCAGGGTGGGGAGGAAGAACATTGTGGGGGTGTTGCTGGAGTGATAAGGGGGAGGGGAGGGGAGGGGAGGGGTGATAGAGCAATAAAGACCTAGAACATTACCCCAAGGGCAGTGGATGTCAGCAACGGGATTGGAGGAGGGTGATTGGCTTTTTGAAAGGTCATTGGCTGCGGTGGAGGAGCAGCCTGGAGGTGAGGCCATGCTGGCTGCTGGGGGTGCACTGCTCCCTGAGACCTGGTGCTGAGCGTGGGAGCAGCAGTTAATTTCCCTAATATTCCTTTCATAGCCTCAGCCCCTCCATGCTTCTCTTCCTGGATGTGCCTCCCTCAGGCAGCTTTCTTATTTTGCAGGAGCCAGCTGTCTCAGCCGCTCCCCCATGGGCAGGACACCCCTGCACGTGGCTGCATTCATGGGCCATTCGGACTGTATAGGCCTCCTGCTCCAACACGGGGCCTCCATCTCCGCCAAAGATGCCAAGGGGATGACCCCCAGGGACATCGCCCACCAGCTGAACCGCAGGCAGGATGAGCAGCAAATGTTCCTGTCCACCCAGCTGCCCAAGCCAGGGGTGAAGGGCCCGAAGACCTGAGCCAGGCTGGTCAGGGAGGAGAGTGTGGGTCCGCCCCAAGGAGAAGAGCACGGCGGAGCTCCCACGGGGATGTTTGCTGGTCAAAGCTGAGCTGGGCAACGTTTGAAGGGCTCGGGTCCACGGTGACCCTTGGTGAGCAGGAAGGCAGGAAAACATGGCAATTAATCTGAATCAGATAGTAAATTATCTGTCCTGGTTGCAGATGACCTGCGGAAGGAGCTGATAGAAATAGGTGAGCTGTGTTCATTTTGTAACCCATTACGGCCCTAATAGGCTCCATGCCAGCCTTTAATTTTAGGCTGTTTGTACGCGGTGCCTGATAACGCCACTCAGGGTGATGAGGGCCAATTACCTTGTCCCGCGTCCGGAGGCCGTCTAATGCACCGGTGGTCGGAGTCCCAACCATCAGCAGAGCGGCTCTGCTGTTACGCTACAGACGCGTGTTGGCAAATGCCGGGAGGCCGTGTGCAGTGAGCTTCAGTTTGTAAAGCTCACAGAACCAAAGGCTCCCACAGCTAGTAATGTTCCAGAAGTTTCCCTGAGCCATCCTTGAGGGGTCTGAGGCTTGAGTCGGGGTGGGGTGGGGACGGGGGAGAGCTTGGCTCTCCAAACATGTTCTCCACAGGGCGCCTGATTTGTTGAAAGGCAGCACATTGGCATTGAATGTGGAGGTGGTGGTGTGAATGTGGAGGTGGTGGTGTGAATGTGGAGGTGGTGGTGTGAATGTGGAGGTGGTGGTGTGAATGTGGAGGTGGTGGTGTGAAAGACGGTGATGAGCTGGTAGAAGGAGCTGACACCTTCTTTCCGTGTGTCCCATTCCCAATGGCCCCAGCACCACCTCCCACCAGCTTTCTCCTTTCTTGCTGGTACCCTACTCACTGCAGGACCTTATGGGGCAGCGTCTATGCTTAATTCTAGGTTCTGTGCCTCACACAAGATACAGACCTGCTGTGTGGGTGAGGGAGCTGCGTGGGGGAGACTACAGGGAAAGGTGAGGTCTGAGGCAAACTGACACACTCCCCTGTCTGAAGAGGGCGCCATGGCTCAGCTCCAACAGAAATGTGGGTCAAAGGCAGCCAGATCTGTCCAAGCTGTCTAGAGCTGGAAATCTGACTTTTTGATATAACTTCTGGTTTTGAGTGTTGGCTTGAATTTTTGGGGGATTGGGATATGGTACAAGGGGAGAAGAAGAATTGAGGCACACCCATAAGACTGCCCTCTGTTGTGAAACTAACTCGTTTCACAGAGGAAAGTGGTAGAACAACTTGAGACTCATTGGGACAGTCCTGGGCTCTGAAGCCACAGGGCGGATGGCCCTGGGTCCTGCCGTGCATGTTTCTCTAAGGCCCTAGATTCTGCTGCAACTTCTGGAATCCCTCTCGGGCGCCTATGTTGTGTTTTTAAAGTGATGGAGATGGCATGGAATCCTGGCGCCCTTCCTTCTGACTTAGGTCCCAACAACGGGATTCAGCTTTTAAATTAATTGGCCACATTTCCTGCTGTCATAGCGAGTAAGAGCTGTGTTGATGGGGCCCTACACTCAGCAGACGGGGCTGTACCCAGCTCAGCAATCTGTTTGACAAATAATAGTCAGGAAAAAAATAGAGTTTAGCGTCAACTATGTCAAAACTGAGATTTCGTTTTTGGCAGGCTTTCTCCAAAGTCATAGGCAGATATTAAATAACCCCATTGAGCAGGTCAATTCATTTAGCTAATGAGGTGTGTTGTGTGTGGGGGGGGAGGGGTGGGGGGGACTGAGCACCCTTTTAACTTAACAAGGGGCATTACTCAAAGTCACGTTTGCCTGGAGCTTTGCTCTATTGTCTTTGTTTTAGGAGAGCCAAGCGCCTGACACTCGTCCCCAGAACTTTGGAGGCAAGCACTCTATCTCCCTACGGCCCCAATTCAATTAAACGCTCGGCCAGAAATTGGGCAGATTCTCAACTCTCTGTGGTGACCTTTTGCTCCGTCTGTGGCAGGGTCATTTGAACACGCCTGTAGGTCCTAAGGACTCTTCATTTGAGACAATCTCAACATCCTCTCTCATATTCAAACAAGCCTCATCACAGATAAATAAAGTATGTCCATCCCATAGAAGAGTTGATTTGCAATTGATCACAGTCATGTCACATTTGTAGATATTTCATTAAACATTTTTTTGAAGGTGTTTTTTGGTCATTCTTTGGAGCCAACAGAAAAAAAAAAACATTTGGGGTTGGGGTATCTCAAGCATTTGTGTAGGACTTTAGAATCCATTTAGGCCCAAGGCACTGGGGACGGTGTTTAGCAGTGAAGCAGCGGGGGTTTGCAGGGGCCGGGTGGGCCTCACCGCGCCGAGGAGAGAATGGGCTTCCTTTGGGAAAGGGGCTGGGCCAGGCTTCTGGGTGCAAAATCCAGCCCCCTCTCTTTAGCTTGTATTTCCTGTAAGCCTGGGCTCTCGGTCACTAGAGCAAGAAACTGGGGGGCTGGTGTGGAGATGCAGAGTTTGGGGTCAGTGTGGACCCCAGATCACATCTTGCCGGCTCTGCCCTGTGGATAGAGGATGGAGGGTAGTCATGGTGCCTGGTCCCTAAGGGTGTTGGGAGGGCCTAGGACAGTGATGGCGAACCTATGACACGCATGTCAGAGGTGACACGCGAACTCATTTTTTTGGTTGATTTTTCTTTGTTAAATGGCATTTAAATATATAAAATAAATATCAAAAATATAAATCTTTGTTTTACTATGGTTTCAAATATCAAAAAATTTCTATATGTGACACGGCACCAGAGTTAAGTTAGGGTTTTTCAAAATGCTGACACGCCGAGCTCAAAAGGTTCGCCATCACTGGCCTAGGAAGTAGGACATGCTCAATAGGTGCTAGTTATCATCATCTGAGAGCTTGGTGGGATAACCTTGCTGAAGTCAAAGGCTAAATTCTTGGTGTTGGTAAGAGAGGGAAGATAGGAGAACCACTTGGTGCCTTTCTTGGACTCTCTTAAGTTCCTGTCACCACAGAACTGATGACCTGACACTTTGAGGTCAGTGCCCCCATGAGAATGCCATGGAGTGCCCTGGATTGCTTGGTGGCCACAGGAAGGCGGCTTCCTCAGCATCTCTGCCCTCAGGGACATTGCTCACTGGTGTGCCTGACGTCAGCCTGGAAACAGTCCTTGGAACTAGGAGCCCCTCTGGAGGGATGAACCACTCACTCTAAGCAGGTGCAGCTGTGTTTCTACTCGCCTTGGCCGCCAGGATGCTCAGAGCCACGATCAGGCCCTACCTGGAGCAAATACCCACTCCCCCCTGAGTGCGTTGTAACGAGTCACTCTTCTTGTACTTGTTTAGTTATAAGGTGCCCCCAATCCTCCTGAGGTCAGTGTGAATTAGAAAGAGGTGACACCAACTGTGGTTCAGAGGGAGCTTTGAACATCTTTCCCAGGTCTGGTTTGGCTGACCCAGCCTCCAGGCCATCAAGCCTCTGGTCACCCCCGCGCCCCCCCCCCCCATTGTCTCAGGGGCAGCTAAACATAGATCCTGAGCTTTATTCTGCATCCTAGCTACTGGCCTGGTCTCCAGCATCCTTCAGGCCCTGGATGCGGGTGCCTGGGCTGTCCCTCTGGACCTCGGGCCTCCTCCACGAGGTGTCAGCTGAGCTTGGGCTCTGACCTCCAATTCTGCCCTCTGCCCCAGGCCTGGACCCTCTACCTGAAGCATAGTCACCAGCCAGCATTTCCTGGAGAGGCGGAAGGGCTTCCCATGACATCTCAGGGGACGCAGGTGGCTCCTGACACTGATAAGTGACACCGAAACCTAGGGTGAGAAAGTCTTCTCCTTTTCTTTCTTTCTTTTTTTAAAAATATATTTTTATTGATTTCAGAGAGGAAGGAAGAGGGAGAAAGAGATAGAAACATCCATGATGAGAGAGAGTCATTGATCGGCTGCCTCCTGCAAGCCCCCCACTGGGGACCGAGCCCACAACCCGGGCATATGCCCTTGACCGGAATTGAACCTGGGACCCTTCAGTTTGCAGGCCGACACTCTATCCACCGAGCCAAGCCGTCCAGGGCGAAAGTCCTCTCCTTTTCAAACCGCTCCCAGTTCCTTTGATTCCAACAAGAAAGTCTCCCTTTGGAACTGGTATGCTAGACCCTCGCCAGTCTCCCTTTTAAACATACACAAACGGAGCCAACTGCAGGCAGCTGTGTTTTGCTGGGAGTTAGTCCCATTGCCTTGTTTTCGGTGTATTTGTGGGCCAGAAGTCACTCCTTTCTTCACTCCTAACCAGTGTGTGACTTCTGGGCAAATGGTCGCCTCCGAGGACCTCAGCTTCTTCGTCTATCACGGGGCCCCATCATCTCCCTGCCAACCTGGCTGTTGGTGAAATAAGACAACCAAGGTGAGCTGTGCCCTCGGGACCTGAAGCCCGTCGGTGTGCCCCCCGACCTCCAGGGAGGGCCGGGCCTTGTGAGCTGCTCAGCCGTGGGCAAACTACGGCCCGCGGACCGGATCCGGCCCGTTTGAAATGAATAAAACTAAAAAAAAAACAAAAAAGATCGTACCCTTTTATGTAATGATGTTTACTTTGAATTTATATTAGTTCACACAAACACTCCATCCATGCTTTTGTTCCGGCCCTCCGGTCCATTGTGGCCCTCGAGTCAAAAAGTTTGCCCACCCCTGTGCTAGATCCATTTAGAATTGTCCTTTAAAACGGGCTGTGCGGCTCTGGACCAACCAGTTGTATTTCTCAGAGCCTCAGTTTCCCCATTGGTCACATTGGGTAATAAAACCTGCCCCTGTCATTGCTGGAGGGACCCAGTGCCTGGCACAGAGCAGACGCTTGACAAACAGCAGGCATTGCTATTATTATTATCACTACGGCCACTTAATTTGCTTACAGTGTTTACTCGCCGGGAATCAATAGCCTCCCGGTTCGCAGAGAGCCTCATCCATCCTCGGCAAACCTTGTACCATAAGCGCCTCCATCCAGAACGGCTCATTCCCAGCGTGGGGATAAG